CAATTAGGAACTGTTTGAGCTCTTATTCCTACCTGCAATATGGCAGGAGGTCAGGCTCTGAACTAACTAATTTTGTGGTCAAAAAGAACTAAGACAAGAAACCACTTTGGAGAAGAAGAGAAAAGGCAGATTCTACCTGGCTTCCCTGACCTCCTCCCGTGGCACAGTGAGCTACTTAGTAGATGAGGGGCAGACTTATGGCTGTTTTTTATCTGGACTTTAGAAACCATAGACACCATTTCCCACAGCTTTCTCCTGGAGAAGGTGGCTGCTCATGGCTTAGATTGTGTACTCTTCTCTGGGTAAAAAGCTGTCTGGATGGCTGAGCCCAGAGAATGGTGGTGAATTGAGTTAAATCCAGATGGCATCCAGTCAGTGGTGGTGTTCCCAGAGCTCAGTATTGGTGCAAGTCCTGTTTAATATTTTTATCAATGATCTGGATGAGGGGATGTATTCGTGCTTAATTAGATGCTGCCATCTTGGTATGTGGTTAGCTCAGCCACCTGTGAGAATCTATTCTTTTCCCACCAAGTTATGAGAAAACAAGCACTGATAAACTAGAACTTCATCCTTGAAGGGAGTATCTTGTATAAACTATAATTAACTGGTACCTCAGTATTGGTTGATGGCCCTCCAAGGGCATTTGAACTGGAAAGTAAAGAGGAGGAGGATGAAGTAAGCCCCCAGACTCATTTAGGAAAGACCCCCTGAGGTGCAGCACGCCAGCACGGGGACATTCCAGAGTACCCACATGTGTGCAGAAGAGATGCCGCTTGCATACTGAGGGAAGGGACTGAAGGCCTCTAGCTGGGTGGTGCTGACCACACCTGCACAGGTAGACGTCACCAATTAATTATATAAAAAGCAGAGCTCATGCTGGGAGTGAAATGCAAGCTTCACATCAAAGGACAACGTTGCATTTTGGGGGGACGCCCATTATCTTGTGAGTCTGCCGACTCCGAGAATGCAGCTTCTGCTATGGGTAATTCTAGGCATTCTGGGATCAGTAAGATAACTTCGTAAGCAACATCTGAGTGAGAGGGGAGTTGTACTGAGGGCTTATTTTCCTCCCCTTTCCTCTCTCTCAGGTTCTCGGTTTTTTGGCCACCTCTTGGTAATAAATATTGGTTTTGCTGAGCTTTCAATCAAAGTCTCTTCCTGTACAGAAGGAGCACAGAATTTACTTGTGTGGAGCAGTACAATGTTGGCTGGCTTACCTGAAGATTTTTTTTTGTTTCTCTAACTCCTTCACCCTCAACCCAAATCAGACAGAAATGACAGCAGGAATATGGGCAGGGGCAAATTCACAACAAAGTGTGTAGTACTATGTGAAACTGAAAAAAAGGATTGGTTTTCTTGTTTTAAGAGAGGAAGTCAAACAGGAATTTAACTTGAACAGTTGTTTGAAGTTTTTGTACTTTTTGTAACTTACAGAAAAGCACAACGACCTTCAATAGTCAGAAAAATTTTCAGACCAGAAATCACATCATTAAACTTGTGCTGTCCATATCAAAGTTGCATTAGTTCGCTCCCACAATTTGTGCCATGAAATAGAATGCTTCTTCAAATTCACACTGTTCAATGCTGTCACTGTCTGCACCGTGCACAGCTAATCAGTTAATTTACAGAGTGGCTTGATGAAAGTAGTGTTTCAATAGCCAGTCTCCTAAATGGATGTATACAGCCTAAAATAAATTATCAACTCACATATTATATTAAATTCCAGGATATTTTCCAGAAAAGTAGCATGCAATATATATGACAAAGTGTGTGGGCGTCTGCATTTATGAAATGTGGGTGTGGAAAGATACAGCTAATATTTTTTTCAAATCTCTATATATTTATTGAAATTGGCAGCTTCAACTACTTAGGTGCAAGCTGCCTACGTTTTAAAATTCTGTTTCTTGTGTGTCTTGTTTGTTTTGCATATTCTATCAGAAGCTACATTGCAGAGGGTCCCAAAGAGCCTCTGTGTCACAAGTGGTGTGATGTGCTACTATGTACAGAAACCTCTCTTCAGTGATCAGCCTTAACCTGAAGTTTCTTTTTTCAGTTGTCAAGACTGTCCAACTTGACAAGAACACTTGTAAAATGAAAAACAGAAATAAGTGGCTTGGCCTATAGGTTTGTTTTAATACATTAGAAAGGAAGAGCAAGTAAACCAGTAAAAAGGTTAGAAAGATGAAGAGAATGGGAGAAAGGGAGAAGAGACTACTGGGATCAACAGTTTGCTGAAGGAAGCATTGATGTTCTGAGATCAGCACTTAGTTATGAGAAAATAGCTAATGATAGACCTACACCAAAGCCACATAAGGTCAGAGAAAACCCACAGAGAGTGTGCATTGACCAGTGCACCATGTGGAATAGCTTTGATAAGGTGGTTTAATGGTAACACAAATGTGTAACAAGTTTAGCTTAGAAGTCACTGTTGAAAATTATGAAAAAGTAGTGTCACTAAAACGGTGATGGGAGGCTCATTTTTCTCCCTGCATTCATTTATACCATCTCTTTGTTCTCAGTGAAAACCTCTTGGGTAAACACTAGGAAGAATAATTTTGAAATGCCTACCGTATTGGGACATGGATACTTCATAGATTTATAGTTACCAGTAGAATTGAATAACTAAATTTTAAGCAATAAAAATTTAAATAGTTTACTTGGACATGTAGGTAATTTCTTTCCTGTCTACAAATCTCCTTGAAGACTCCTACCTTATTCTTCATTTTTGCTTACTCTGAGGATAATTTCCAAAAACTGTGGGTTGTGAGCAGCTTTTTGTAGCTTTTTCTGTGCCTCTACTGAATAATTATGTCTCTGTGAAAGTGTTTGGTTCAAATTTCAGGGATTTCAAATCTGCTATCAGTAAATACTTAAAATATTGACTGTTTTGAAGCACATTCTTGCCAGGAAATATTTCTGCTAGAATACTTATAGGAAGCAAAAATAAAATGGACACAAAAACTGTCAGTAAAAAACCCTGAAGAAATCTTTGCCAGTTCTTTTCCAAAAACTGCAGTAGTTCATTATCTCCTTGCACCAATTGGTGCAGAATCCCTATCCTAGTTGTTAATTTGAGGACATTAACCAAAGCCATGTTCTTTGCAAATCACTATAGTGCTTAATTTCTCTTCTTGAAATTTATGCGAAGGAAGGCACAGAGGGAAATTTCCGCTTGATCTGCTCTCTACCACACCTAACAGAGATTTGCAGACAATTTTAGTATCAAATCTTTCATGTGCTCCCCTGTCCTTTCCCCTCCGCTAGAGGAGGGTGAAGCCCCCATATATGGCATTATCATTGGGGATGACCTTATAATGAATGCAATAATGTAAGTAAAATGGCCTTTTCAACATCTGCTGTGCCAACTGAAAAACCTCCTCCCCTGATGGCCTGTTGGTACTGCAGTTCCTCTACTCACTGCAGGCATGGTGAGATGGGATAGCTACATGGCATATCTGGTTACCATTGACTGATAAGAGCCTCAGTACCCCTGTAACAATACAAACCTGTGAGTGGAACTGTTCCTGACTGTGTGAGGGGAACCTCCCATGAACATAGTGGGAATGAGAGGGGCAGTGTATCCACACTCTGACTGGCCTGCCCTTTCTGTAACCAAAAATAAATGTACATACATGTTCTGCTGTCACTTCCAGACTGCTTTTCTGTCTTTGAGAGTTTATGGTGTGTGTCCCTTTGTAGCAAATACTGTACTAGGAATTAATACTTAAGAGAGTTTACACAGTGTTGGAGGTCAGAGAGTCAGAGATACTCTTCTGTTTATCCCTGTGCAGTAAGGAAGGATTTAAATGCTCATTCTGAGAGTCTCACTTTCAGCCTCCCCTGACCCACCCTAGAGCTAGCTGTGACTAATTAAAAGAGAATAAATATGTCAGTGCTGACCCTAAGGATAATACAGAGACAGGTCCTAATTTTCAGTTTTCAAACGTTGAACTCTGTTAAAATGGTAGCAGTGTTACAACAACTAACAGTCCTATTAACTCTACTTTATACAGCCAGTATATAAAATCTGATGAATGAATGACCTTGACTGTACTTCCCCTCAGTCCCTAGATATAACCCCATATACCCTAGTTGGGATAGGTGCCATTGACACCTCAAACAAATGCTGTTTGCCGCGCCATAGTTTTCTGTAGCACTGTAGCACATCTGCTGCTTTTGTGTTCTCTTGACATGACCAGTCCTTCAGTTTTCTGGAGGGAATCACCACACAGTCCTGCTAGTCCTTAATTATCAAATTTGCATGCATTCCTGAATCAGGAACTTGTACCAATGAAACTGTGAGGACAGCAACAAGTTTGGTCTGTGAGAAGACAGTGTATCAGCATTTGTCATATTAGCAAGCACTGTGGTTTAGCAATCAAGAGGCAAAGCACCAAACTGGCTGGTGATTCACATCAGCTAGCCTGGCAGAGTATATAACCCAGTGAACAAGACTGCCAAGCTGAGGGAGCACAGAACTAGTAAACTTGTCTTTAAAAATACCACAAGGTGTGAACTTCAGCCTTGTCAGTCGGTATGACTGTGCAATACTACAATAAATAAATCATTATGTTAGAAATTAAATACAGCTCTCAGCTTGCCTAGGATGGTGCTAGCCTGTGTCTAAAGTGCACCTGAGGGGACAGCAAGCCACAGGATGGTGAACTGAGCAATTTGTGACAACTTGTGCTGCTACCACACTCAGTCATCCTAAGCAGACCAACAATTCAGAGTATGTTCAGAGACAAGACTAAGACAGAAAAACAGCTAAGAAGCACATCTCTCTCTTTGTTATGATTTCCCCCCGATAGATTCCTGGGAATATGACATACAACTTGTAGAGCATAAAGTGCAGGGAAAATGGCGTGGGCCACCCCACGTTCTTCAACGTGTATTTACACGCATTTGTTCATTTGCCACTTGTGTACCTCTTCTGATCTAAGAGGCTTATCTCCTGGCTTCAGCTACTTTGACTCAATTACTTCTTATAACCTACACAGATTGCTTGTTTTAAGAAGAGGATGAGGCTATTTCTACACTGCGACTGTGTTTGAGAAGTTACTTGCAGAAGAACAGAGACTTGAACTCACACACAGGTGAGCTGAGACCCCAGTGCATGTGAGGGTTTGACATGGGCTTTTTAGTTGTGAAAGTCCAGAAGGGAGAGAACTCTGAAATTCTTAGTTAGCTAAATAAACAAGCTACTCCTGTTAGCTACCTTCAAGCCTTCTTAAGGGGGTAAGAAAACTAACAAAAGTGCTACATAAAAAGTAATTGGTTTTAATTCCCTGGAGATTAACCAGTTGCCAAACATCACTATGGCAAATCTTCTTTGTTATCTAAAGCACAGAATCTAAAGAGACTGACAAGCCCACTGAGCTGCACAGGACCATGCTAAACTACATTGATCCGGATGGGCTGAGTTTACAAGTTCAGTCCACTGGGCACTACTCTCTCTGCTGCACAAAGCGCACTTTTTGTCCTCCTCTCATTGATACTATAGTAAAAAGGGTCTTGTGTGTTGTGATTTTCAGGCAAAATTTCTCTGCCAGTTCTGACATGAGATATTAAAGCACCATAGCTGTCTGCAAAATTCAGCACATCTGCAGCTTCTGTATCTGTTTCTGGTCCATGTTCCGCTTTTCAAAAAAAAAAAAATAAAAAATTAAAAAAACCAAAACCAAATCCAGCAGGATCAGAACATAATGGAACTCAAATCTTTTGTTTCTTGTGATATAATGATAATTTGCGTGTAAATGTAATGTTGTCTACATATGACTTTAGCAATGTGTAAAGCACCTTAAGGAAATCAACTTCCTTCTACCTATAGAAACATGCATGTATTGAAATTTTGTTGCACTTTTTAAGCATAAATCATAGTAAAAAATAAACTGATAAGGAACACATTTGTTAGCTACTTTTAGGCTTTTATTCTTTCCAGTCTAATAGTCTGCTAATGACTAACCAGTCTGATAACTTTTAGGGGTAGATTTTGCTATTTTGGGCTATTTCCCTAGATGAAAGTTATTTCTATAGCAGCTATTCTTAGAAGCATTTATGGAAGAAAGGGAGGGAGTGAAGCATCAGTAGAGAAGTGACTCACCACAGCACTACTAATTGTCAACCAAAAAAAAGTCTGCTTTGCAGATTAGGAAATCAACTGTAGAAAAATAACCCCTGTGTATTTGAGAACCAAACACTACTCATGGTCTTTCAATATTAAAACTATGTGGGATGGATGCACAGCCAATAACCAGTAACAGACAGACATCTGAAACTACTCCTTTCTAGGTCTATATCTGTCCACATCATTTACCTCCCAACCCAATTTCCCATTGCTTTTGCCTCACTCTTTATCATCCCTGCAACATCTGCTTCCCTTTGATTTTTTTTTCCTCTTCTGTTGCTCCACAGTTTGAAATATGTTAAGTAAAAGGCAGCTAAAAGGTCTGGTAGCAGCCTGCAAAAATTTCAATTTCTAGGTCTCTGGCTAGGATCCAGACAGGTCAGTGGCAACTGAAAGTTGTTACCACTCCATGTCTGCTAGATGACCTCAGTGACATTAATTACTGGACTGGTCAGAGCAGCAATCTTAGCAGAGAACCACCCACTCTCTGTGCTGAAATCAGGCTATCCTCTCCCCTGCAGAGTCAAGGCTGTGGCAGGGCTGTCTCCAAGAGGCCACGGAAATATACATCTTCATCTTCCTCATCCCTTTAAATATGTTAAAATTACTCATCATTCTTATTTTCTAGACAATTTAAAGGTAGCATGAGAACTAAGGCTGTGCAGAGCTAAGGCTGTGCTGTCATGTTTAAATACTCTGCAAGTGACTTAACAATAAGCATTACTCTATGGGTAACTAAATTAACTAACTAACTAAGTATCGGTATAAAGCTCAGAGCTTATTGAGGTGGTATGTGTTTTCCTGCTCTCCAGGAAAGTGAAGAAAAAGTCTCCACGCCTCATGCTGCAGCCCGATCATAGCTTGCTTGCTTGCTTGTTTGCTTGCTTGCCTGCTTCCTTCCTTCCTTCTCCCCTCCCTCCTTCCCTCCGTCCCTCTCTGGAGACTACTTGTGAATATTTTTCTAGTGTAAAAGCAAACCTCTCACCCCCTCAGAGAACTTACGGTAGCATTAGAAAATGAAATTTTCCATTTCAGAGAACAATACTGTCAGATTTCCATTAATATTTTACACTTCTCAGTGCTCATGACAAATCTTGCTATATTCTCTAGTTTGGAGGAGGACCATGGAAATCTCTAGCTTTTTTTTTTCCCTCTCCCACAAAGAAAACCCAACTGTCAATATGAGACTTTGACCTTTTTTCCCTTCGCGTTCTTGATATAAGAGAAGAACACGAAAATATGATCTCTGTAGGTAAAAGCAATCAAAGGGAAAGCAAATTTAAAAATAAACCTTTATTTAAGGGGAAAAAAGGAACTAGCAATGGTTGAAACTTCGTCAGGGATGTTTGGAGCCTGCCTCAACATTTTGCAGTGCTTGGGAATGGCAATAAAACTTTATATCAGATTAACCGGGATTTAAAGGTCTTTCTATTTAAACACACAAATCACAATTAAGCTGAATTTTATTCCCAGAATAATGTCATCTAAGTCATCTTGGTTAAATCTTTCCTATTCACTGTCTTCGGATGTCAACTTTTTATAATAATTAAATTAATTTACTTACAGATAGTTTCTGTAAAGGACTGAGTCGCAAACATTCAAACTCAGACACACAGATTTGAACTTCCAGTCCTGGAAAACTTTTCTCATTGCTTTCTAACCTTAAAGAAGGGTGATGACATTTATCAGTTCATATCACTGAGGGAAACTGTTCCTGGCCTGGGTGTGGGAGCTGACATAGTGGCTAGAGGCAAGAGACATCACAGTCCCTGCTCTGGGTGATGCTCTGATGAATAATGTTCCAGCAGCTTTGAGTCACAGAAACAGATTCAGGGCTCAGGCCCCATCTCATACACCTTGACAACAGGTCCAATGTGAGGAGGGTGAGACGATTTACAAAAGGAAGGAAAATCTCATGCCACCAATTAAAATCCAGGATAAATAATGTCCTGCAGACCTTCATCAGACTGACAGACCAAACTGAGCAGATCCGTTCCTCTGCTATGATGGCTCTTCATTCACCAAGGTTCCTGCAGTAGAGGCACACTTTCAAACTGCAGGCATCTAATACAGGCACCCAGGTCCTTTGCATATTTCTTGGGGAACAATTCATAGTGCATAAGTAAGGAACGTCTGTCTTTCCCTTGAGTAAATGAAGCTCTATAGCATGAACGCAGACACAGTGGGTCAGACCAAAGAGCCAGCTAAGCTACCACTCTGCCTTTGACATAGGCAACAGCAGACGCCTAGGGAATAGCAGAAGAGCAGGACATTCATATCTAAATTTTCTTCCTCAGTTACTTTTTAACCCAAGACCAGTAGTTATACATCACACAGACTTCCTAATGCATCCATGGTTTGTATGAATTTAGAGATGCCATTAATTTTCCTGTCTCTCTTTGAACCTGGGTAAATATTCATTGTCTACAATATCTAAGGGCAGGATTTATAAAGTTTAACTATGTGACTACTATCATGAGAGATCGCTGTGAAACTGCAGGTATATATGTATGAACAAACTTGAGAGGCATGAGTGAACTTGGAAATCAGAGCACAGCAACCTTTTCCTACCTCTGAGATGCACTCACATCCTTTTGCTGCATGGGAGGCATGCTGAGAGCAATGTAAAACATATCTGAAGTAGATGTGTTGAAAGTCCCAAGCTGATGAAGTACATATGTCAGATGCCATATACAGTGCACAAAGTTTTTGGAGGATATTTCTTGTCATGTTTATCATCATTAGACAGAACTAATTGTCATGAATCAAGTCTAAGCAGAGTTGCATGGGGTCTAAGTGATGAAGAGATTGGGTTGGTGGTACTATTCAATCACTAACAACTTATTGGACAACTTGGCAGCTTTCCAAAGATTATATTCTTCTTCTCTCTTCAGAATTGTAAATACATATATGAAAATATTCTCAAATGTGGACATTAATAAGCTCAATTTGAGATCACATCTGCCCCATGATCAATTTTTTTATCAATTGGTTGTATTGCACAACAAACCTGAACTCAGCTTGCCATGAAATGTCAGCACCAATTTCTGTTGGTTGCAGCACCTTATGCTGTGACTGGGGTCATTGCAGTATGCATGGCTTCAACATGAAGGGGACTCGTGTTAGCTGCCGCAAAATCATAGAATCACAGAATTGTTTAAGCTGAAAAAGATCTTCAAGATCATTGAGTGCAAGGATTACACAGTCACTACTGAGTCTACCACTAAACCACTTTTTAGAGATAACGTGAAGAATAATGAGCTTGTGGAAAACATGATACCCAATTACAGGCTATAGAAAAGCTTTAGTAACCCTTTGAACCTTCTCAGGACAAGTATTCACTGTAGTTACTCTAGTTTTAAAAAAGTGTCACTCATAATAATGTGTTTCTAGTTATGCTTCTGTTAAAACATATTATCCAGTAATGGATTTCAGAGATCCTTAAGGTAGGACACACTGAAACTACTAAAAAAAATTGGGGTTGGAAGAGGACTTCAGTGGACTATGAAAAGGCATACAGTCCAGAAGAAACAGAATTTGGATTCATGAGAACATAACCCAAATGAGCTGTAGACTTGACTGTCTTGAGCCATGAGCAGGGTATGAAGCTGCTTAGGGTGGCAGACTGCTGGAACTTTGCCTATGCCAGTAAGTTTTGTCTCTGTCAAAGACTCCTGTTGCAGAACTACTGATAGCCAGGTTGGTTTCTCATGCTGAGGAAGAGGTTGGACTATGGGCTACGACAATGGCACAGCAACTCTTGGCAGAGTCACTCTGCCAAGCTACTGCATGTTATGTCTCTAGCTCCCAGGTAATATAAAATGAGGCAGGTTCTTTCCCTGAGTCCTTACCCCTCTTCACAGAATCACAGACTTGTTGAGGTTGAAAAGGACCTGTGGAGGTCATCCAGTCCAACCTTCTTGCTCAAGCAGGACCACCTAGAGCCAGTTAGTGAGGACTGTGTCCAGATAGCTTTTCGATATCTCCATGGAGGGATACTCCACAACCTCCCTGGGCAACCTATTCCAGTGTTTGCAGAAAACAAAGTGTTTCCTGATGTTCAGACAGAACCTCCTGTGTTTCAGTTTCTGCCCATTGCCGCTTCTCTTCCACACCAGAAATTGTCCAGGCCTGGTCTGGTCTTGGCCCTTCAGTTGTGAAGTGCCTATTTCACGGCTATCTGTATGGACCTGAGCTGACTTGGTAGCCCATTTTCAGAAGCTAGCTCCAGCCTTTCAGTTTCTTCAGGACTGTGAACTTGAACTGCATAATAAAAATAAAAATTGAATACGGTGCATAAAAATCCAGCTGACTGTGATCAGATCCAGACAAATATCACTGTCTTCTTTCTTCATCTAGCTAGCTTGTTTCTGACAAAACTCCTCCAGAATATAAAGGGCAAGTAAAAGCCATCTGACTAATATTCAGTCTACAAATTAAGTTGGTTTTATCCTATTTTTCAAGCCCTCATTTATATCTGATTAGCTAATGTCACCCAAGGGCCAGACCATTTGTTTAACACTAACTGCTTCCGAAACATTTCTGTTAGTATCATCTAGAAAAACTGATGCAGCTCTATAATGAAACAAAGGGTTATTATATTTCACAGAGCTGTGTAACGACATTTAATGTTAGGATTGAGGCTTGCTCTGTAGCTTATGGAAAAGAAAATTCTTTTTTTTTTCCTACATCAACAGCTGAAGAAAAACTCAGTTTTGATAATGTTCAAATATGTAAAAATACAGATGGGATTTTCTTACCCTTGCCTTTACAAAATTCATTAAAAGATCAAAAAGATTTGTTTAGACTCGATCTTTGTCCCATAAATTCCAAGGATCCATAATAAGCAAATAACTCACAGTAGTTAACTGTGATTTTACAATACCAGTGCACATAATAAACATAATAATGCCAAAGTGTGATTTGCTCCTTAAATCTGTCTGTAGGAACTGCAACACCTTCCTCCAGATATTTAAGAATTAATTCAGAAAGCTATATGTTAAAAGCAGAAAAAGAGCTCATACTTTTTTGTATCAGACTCACTGAACAGCAGGCCCAACACTCTTTTATTTTCTAACCTGCCTTCAGGTACTTTCAACTGATTTGCTTAAGACTTGAGGTAGAATAAAACCCCATGTATCTGGACAGAATCCCAAGGAAGAAGCTACGTGGGTGCACTGCACCAGGACAAGGCCAACAATGATATCTTGGTTTGGTATCCTGGTCTTAAGCCAACATCATCTCTGCCCCATCTCAGGTGCAAGGCTGCACCTTCTCTTTTCAGGGTACAGACCCATTTCTCCTTGCAGGTCTCTGTGGGGAGATTGAGTCAACATTCACAGTTGAGTTACCTTCCCTGGCCTGTAATACCACGAGCTCAAAGAGTTCAAGTGGGTAGGGTACCTGGCCTACGGGGAAATAGCTTACCAGAAGAAGTATAAGTTTGTAACAGTCCCATCCAATGAAGAAGCCAGCACTTGGCCCAATTGTATTTAAAAGTAACTTTTGGAGTTATTGACTTCCTGAGGAATACATCAGTATTTTCCGCCTATCGGTTTAGATAACAAGTTCAAACTCACCAATGCACTTTTTCAGATATTATAGGGAAGTTTGATAGCATCTCAGCTAATTATTTGAGATTATTAGAATAGCTGTAATGAAGGAAGGCATAATAACCTCAGAAATAATTGGATTTTGCAGCAGGCTGTGACAAGCTGTCCAACACATATTCATATGGTCCACTCTGCTTTTACAAGCTAAAACCACAGATTGCAATTTATTACTGCTTCTTGAGTTTGAAATTAGAAAGCGTATTAATGTTGGAAGGAAAATATATTAGCAGAAACACTTGCTGGAGCTGAGAGATCTGCCTTTTGGTTGAGATCAATAACCTGAAAGCCTAAGGCTGATCTTTATCAGAATATGGAATGAATGCCTAGGAGAATGGATAATAAGTGCTGTCCAGAGATTTCATTCCCTTCCTACAACCACGTGAAAAATGTAGACACGGGGTCCCACAAAATTAGAGGCTTCATTTAGATGAAAACTTGAATTTGTTTTTATTTAACTAGCAATAAAAACTTTGGAGCACTAAAAGCTGAAAAATGTGGCTGCAGCTTTCAGCAGTAGGCATAATGTGACTTGTCCCCACTGAATGAGAGAGTTGTTGCAGGGACTTTGTTCCCTGAGGTGTTTGTACAGCACCTAACACAAATTCCACAGAGGACAGTAGCTGGTTCTCTGGTGTACCAGTTAAGTAACCACAATTCAGAGTGATATCTGACACATTAAGACTCCATGACAACCAGCAAAGGTCATATGGCCACGTGGATTCTTCAGTTTGGAAACTAGTTCTGGGTGAGTAGGTATATATTTTGACTCCCTTGTAAAGGAGAGACAATCAGTCACTACCTACTGGTTTTCTTGCTGGGAGATCCTAGAGGATGAACTCCTCCTCTTCCTTGAGGACTGTGTCCTGCCAAACTCAGAGCCATCACATCCTCATATGCCAAGGGAAGTGGATGTGTGTGACCTGTGACACCTCCAGAAGGCAACTTGTCTGTTAGGAAGTTCACACCTACGTGCATTGTTAAGACTTGCCATGTATTCATTTGGATGCATCTGTAGGATCAGCAAAAGAAAACAGATCCAGACTGAGCAGTGTCTACATACATGTCTGAACAGAAGGACTCAGATTGGATTTCTGATGCTGACCACACTACAGCCACAGCTTTCTGTCAGCTAGAGACTGTCTTTCATAATGTGCTCTGTCATACACATATGTGTACCTCACTCTGAAATGGCACGCAAGGAAGAGAAGGTGCACCTGAGGGATCTGCATTATTTATGACCTTTTCTAAAATTGAAGGGACTTGCTAGATATGCACATTCAGTAACAGACCATTGAAGCCAACAGTTTCTCCTTCAGTCATCTCCAAAAGTTGGAGTCTGTATAATATTTCTGCTGTACAGACTTTACCATAGCTTCTAATAAATAGAACTACAGCAACTGTAAATGCATCGGGAAAATGGAGAGGCATTCTTGACATGATGAGAAAACCTTGCAGAGGGCATTCAGATACCATACTCAGTTTATTACCTATGACTTGTTTATGCTTTGTCATGTAATATATCCAAGGAGATCATGTTTTAGTAATTCAAATGAAATAAAGAATACATGTACAACCTGACTTACCCATGCTCTTAGAGCACTCAGTGAGACAAAATTAGCAAGTGACAAAATGAGCAGTATAGGATGGCTCAGAGGAACAGGTAAGAGGTAACCTCCTCAGAGAAGCAAGCCACTCAGGATTCAAAGTGATATACAAGTGCTTGATACTGTTTGCACAGACTGTGAAGAAAGATGATGTGCAATTCACAGTGGACCCATATGAATGAGGGGGGGAAAAACAAACTGCACTTGATTTAAGCATGTAGGCAGACCTGTTAGCTGAGCTTGCAGAGAGCAGCCCTGATGATCTTATTATAACCAGAGAGAACAAGTCCTTTCTTTGTATACAAAGTTAGCTACTGGCACACACATTCCCTCTGTGGTAGCTTGACATAAGAGAGATCCTGAGGAAGAAGTTTTGTGAAAGGATGACAGATGACTACAGAGCTCATCTTGATCTGAATTGCTGAGTTCATGGTGACTTAAGGCTGACATCTAATGACTGGTCACATTAATGGAAGTGCCTTGAAAATATCTGTACAGCCTGTGCAAATGCAGTGCCCAGCACTGCTTCCTGCTGGCGTGTCCCCAGTGAGCCACCACAGCCAAGACCCAGGAGCAAAACACACCTTCACAGTCCATAAACCAGGATCGCTTCACACTGTCTGTCCCAGTTAGCACTGAGGCAGAGCAGACAATAAGGAGGAAGTTACATTTCCTGTAACGTATTATATATGTATTATAACGTATTATATATGTATTATAACATATTATATCACTATATATATATATACATATAGTGAAATAAAATGAAATGGTGAAGAAATTCTTTCCAAGCAGAAACCCAGGTCAAGATTTAGGACTCTGAGAGTAAAGAGATGATTTCAACCCTCTCTCTTCAATCACATGGAATTACAGTTCAAAAAGTGAACTAAAAACAAACAAACAAACAAACAAACAAAAGTCAAAACAAGAGAGAGAGAAAAAGCACTTCTAAAATTCAGTGTTTATCTGGAAATAAAACTATTGTTTCAATGAATAATTTATTTGCTTACCAACAGGTGGGCTGTGAGCTGACTGGTGCATAAGAGAGCTGAGTCCCTACAAAGCCCTGCCAGTTGTGGATGATCCCATCTTTTCAGGATCCAACCTGATTCTCTCACCATCTTGTATATCTAGGTATGTGAGACTTTCTAGGTTTTTTTCATCATCTCAGTAACAAGTTGTAATGATTTATAAAAGAACAATATCACTGCCCACAAAACAACTAGTGAGTTAAAACCAGTGATCCACAGACAGTACCAGGTTGTGCTATTTCAGTATTATTTCACTGAAACATTGTCACTGGAGCCCAGCAAATGCAAACCTTAACAAATATGACAAAAATAGAAAGAAATTTAGATCCTCCTGAAAACGACACAGCTACATGAGAAATTAATAAGTGCATTTGCTTGGAAGTGACTTTATTTTTATTTCAATACAAATACAGGGGACACAGAAAATGCATTAGTAAGCTTCAAGTTGTATTTCTTTTATATGTAAGTGCTGGATTTTAGATCAAACATAATTGTTTCTGGTTTGTTTTTTTAAAAATACTTGAGTGCTTTTTAGTGGAAGTGAGCTAACACTGATATTTTCCATAGTAGAGATGACTAGCACTGCTAAGTGGATAACAAATGTTTTGCTCTGTATTAGAACCCTAAGTAGCAGCTAATTTACAGGCTTTCAGAAGTAGGACAAAAAAAATAGAGCAAAGTTAATACTTTTTTTTTTTTTGCCACAGTGCAATTTTAATTTTTCTGCTCATCTGGGATTTTGCTCCGCTTTGAATCAGAGCTGTACAAATCAACATGAACTGTTTTATAACTTTTTAATTGTTCTGTCTTCCTATACACATGCATAACAGAGGAAAAGAAATGGAGTGATCAGTGGTTAATTACATTGCAATTACTCTTACATGTTATATGATTTAATCTTTTACAATTATACTGATACTTATCAGGAAATTCATGTGCACTTACATAATAATTTTTCATGAAAAAAATTATTGTTAACTGGAATATTTTCTGTAATTTTCTTATTCTAAGAATAACTTTAATTATTTCACATCATTTCTTATTAAGCTCTTCAGTTTTGGGGAAATACAAGTTTGCATCACTACTTAGCTGGGACCATACAGTCTTACTTTAAACTTTAGTACACTACAAGGCAATCATTAAAATTTTGTAGAAAATGTAATTTACTTTAATTAATATGAAGTCAACAATCGACAGGTACTGAAGGCCTGAAAAAGTCTTGCTATCTTTAGGTCTGGATTTGTAACAATATGAAAACAAATAATTCTTGGGACTGAAGGAAATAAATGCCTATTGATATGAGAAGGTATCAATGTCTATTGACGTTGATGTGTTAATAACTGATTGATATAAACACCTTCAGATATATATAAAAATTGATAGACCCCAATACCTATCTACATCAAAAGGGCTCACTATCTGCAGGTCTTGATTGCTATCAGTATCAAAAAGTTTCTTGACACCAAAGTGTTTGGATTCCTATTGAGATTGAAAGGTATTGATACCTATGAATATCAAAATGTCTTGTTATCTATAGATCTCAATGCTTACTCAGATCAAAAACATTCTCTAGATCAGTAGAGGTAGACACCTACAGAACTCAAAAGACAACGATATCTATTAATTGACACTGATGTCCACCTGTAGGTGTTGAAACTGATGAGTGACTAATGATACTGAAAGGTCTCCCCACCAGATGTTGGTACTAACAAAATCAAAATCAGCTTCTGGGCAATACTTATAGAAATTAATGTCTATAGGCATATGAATTGATAGGCATTGATGCCCACAAATATTAAAAGGTCTCACTACTGGTATGTCATGGTGTCTAGCCATAACAAGAAATTTTTTGAGACTGATAGATGTAGATGTCTACTGAGAACAAAAGGTCTACCACTCAGTGTTGATACTGATGCTTACAGATAGGTCTTGAAATTGATAGACATTGGTGCCTGAGAATATCAAAAGATCTCACTATCTATAGTTCTTAATGTCTACCGGTATGAAAATTGGTCTTTTGACTAATAGGGATAGTCATCTATTGAGATTAGAAGTTATCTATGTTCTGTTCTGTATCTATCCATCAATAGCTGTAACTATCTGTGCCTAAAAAATAGATGTCTGCATTCATAGGCATTGACACCTATGGATATCCAAGAGTCTTGTTGTTGATAGGTCTCTGTGTCTACCAGTATAAAAATCAGTCTCAAGAGGTGATTGGAAACAGCCAACATGGCTTTACTAAGGGTAAATCATGCCTGACAAATTTTGATGACCTTCTATGATGGGGCTACAGCATTGGTGGATAGGGGTAGAGCAGCTGACATCATCTACCTGGACTTATACAAAGAGTTTGACACTGTCCTGCATGACACCCTTGTCTCCAAATTGGAGAGACATGGATTTGGTGGATGGACCTCAGCATAAAGAGGACATGGAACTATTGGAACAAGTCTAGAGGAGGGCCACAAAATTGCTAAGAGGACGGGAGCACCTCCTTTACAAAGACAGGCTGAAAAAGTTTGGGGTTGTTCGGCTTGGAGAAGAGAATGTTGCATAGAGACCTCAAAGCAACCTTCCTGTATCTGAGGGGGGACTACAGGGAAACCAGAGAGTCAGGAACTGTAGTGATAGGACAAGGAGTAAAGGGTACAAACTAAAAGAGAGGAAATTAAGGCTAGATATTAGGAAGAAATTCTTTACTTTTGAGGGTGGTGAGACACTGGAACAGGTTGCCCAGGGAGCTCATGGATACCCCAACCCTGACAGAGTTCAAGGCCAAATTGGATAAGGCCTTGAGCAACTTGGTCTAGTGGGAGGTGTCGCAGCCCATGACAGGAGGGGTTGGGACTAGATGACCTTTTAGATCCCTTCTAAACCTTAACATTCTATGATTCTATGACCTATGGGTATAGAAGCCTATCAAGTTTGAAAGGTATTGGTGCCTATTAAGAGGTATCAAAATTGTTCAGCATCAGTGTCTGTGAATTTCAAGTGTTAGTTCTCTATTGGTCTTGAATTCTACTGATATCAAAGGATTTCTTAAGGCCAATAGAATAGATGCTTCTCGAGACAGAAGGGTATCAAATGCCTATCTGCAATAAAAGCAGATTCACTGAAATGTATGGGTTCTACTAAAATTAAAGTTACTGTAAGTAAATGTGACTCGGTAACATCTTTTTTTGAAATATCAGCTGATGGTGATTTGAAGATGACTCAAAAGGGCAAATCTAGATTTATTGCATGTATTTGTACAGTTCTTATAAGGCTTTGTGGTGGACCGAAGAGGTTTTTGATAACTGCCCTGAGAAGATTTGAATTTATACATACTGCAGTCAGATGTGAATTTATCTACTCCGCCTATTTGTTCTTATTTAGAAATTTACATGTAATGGTGCATCTTCTTTCCTCTCTTAAGTCTCTCCTCTTTTAATTTAAAACCGTTTCCCCTTGTCGTATCACTGTCTGTCCATGTAAAATATCAGTTTTCCTCTTTTTTATCAGCCCCCTTTAAGTACTAGAAGGCTGAAATAAGGGCTCCCTGGAGTCTTCTCCAGGATGATGAGTTCTCTCAGCCTGTCTTCATAGAGAAGGTGCTCCATCCCTCTGGTCAACTTTGTTGCCCTTCCCTGGACACACTCTAACAGATCCACATTTTTCTTGTGCCAAGGATCCCAGAGCTGAACACAGTACTCCATGTGGGGTCTCCCAAGGGCAGAGTAGGAGAATCACCTCCCTTGACCTGCTGGCCTATGGGTTTCCCTTTCCCCATCCTCGACGTGGGGGAGCCCAGCTCTAGTTCCCTCTCCGTCTGAAGAACCATTTCCGACGTCTTGTGGGACGGGGAAGGGGAACTCCAGAAACAGGGTTTTTCAGGCCCCGAGCCTGGAGGGGAGAGGTGCCCTCCCCTCCCCCCACCACCCACGCGGCCCCATGGCAGGCACAGAGACAGCACACCGGGCGTGGAGAGGAGGCAAGAGAGAGTTTATTGTTGGGAAGGGGTTTATAAGGCTTTTAGGAGGGTCAAAGGGGAACCAATCACGAGTTCAGGGTCACACAGAAAAAACCATCAGGTAAAGGGTCAACAGCCAATAGGAAGGGGTTAAACAAAGGACCAATGGGACGCCTCGGGACAGGACTTGCATGGGAGATAACAGTTGCTGTGGGGGGTATTGGGAAGAAGAAACACGTGTTTGCAAAGGGACCACAAAGAGCCATTTTAAAACATGTTTAAACAAGTTTCTCATCAGATTCACTGCCACACTGGCCACACCTCTTTTGATGCAGGCCAGGACGCAGTTGGCCATCTGGGCTGTTAGCATACACTGTTGGCTCATGTCCAGCTTTTCATCCACCAGAATGCCCAAGTACTTCTCTGCAGGACTGCTCTCAATGAGTTCTTCTCCTAGTCTGTAATTAAGCCTGGGGTTACCCCAATCCAGGTGTAGCACCTTGCATTTGGAATTGTTGAACTTCATGAGGTTCTCATGGGCCCACTTCTCAAGTTTTGTGCTCCTATTCCAGACTTTGGGAGTTGCAGAGGAATAAGGAAAGGTAAACTGAATCTTTACAATAAACACACATAACAGATCATGGCTCTGCAATGAAAACATCAACCATAAGAACAAATTTTCAAAGGGAGTAGCAGACATATTTCTTTTTAATGTTTCTATCATACATCATTTTCATGGGTCAATCAAGAAAAATATGAACAAAGAAATCTCTTTCCCTCTTTGGAGTCAAAACAGTAAGAGACAGAAAATGAGAAAAGAAAGGATTAGAGGTTTCTTCAAAGTAAATGGTACCTGGTTAGATTGAAAAACAAAGTCGTGCATTACAATAAATTTGAAAGAAATGTTCTCTTAAGAATGAACATAATATTTAAGAACCACATTTTCATTCTTCTCCACTACTAATGACAACAAACGCTTTGGAGGATAGACTGATGATTCAAGATAAAAAGTAATACAAAGCTTAAAAGGTAAAGATATAAAATGTTCTTTTTATTTTTTTTATATATGTCTGCTGTACAGAGTCAGCTTTTTCAGAAAGAAACCCATATAAATAACCCAGAAAACATTATTGCTGTTAAAGCAAGTTTTGTTCTAGTGCTTAAAAAAATTAGTGGAGAATTCCAATAAATCCTCTAAATAATGTCAGTTTTGTTTCACTGTTTCATCTTTTTTCCTAGCTAAAATTATTCATGGACAAATAATGGTTTTGCTAGTTTATTCTTTTTGTAAATCTTGAAAGAACGTGCTTCAGTTGCCTGTAAACCCCTTCCTTTTGGTTAAAGATTGATAAATATATTTTCTAAACTGCAGACAACTAAAAAAAAATTAAATCAGAGGATTAATGCCTTACTCTTGATCCACAACGTACCGAGGAAGAAAATTGCCTCAACTGAATGTCAATGGCAAAACTCCATTAACCTCAGAGGCCTCAGATTTCAGTCCTTGTTCCTTGCCTTTTCGCTGATATGAAAATTCAAATATCTCTATCTTCTGATACCAGGCCAAGCTCAGAAAATCTTGACTTTGTCAACATCAAATAAGAAATGGCAACAATCATTTTTGCTAACTAAGCAAGCATTTAGAAGTGGAATCAATGTTTTCAGACATTTTTCATAGCACTTGCCTTTCATTCTTAGCTAAAAGCGGGTTTTTTTCTTTCACTCTCAATATTTTTGTCTCCTGTGCACCAAGGCTGCAAATCCATACTGCGCCTTAGCTCTCAAGGTTATTTTCTTAGATCTGGTCAAGCTCAGCAGTGACTGAACACCATCACCATTTGACAACTGCTTAGAGTCTGTGTGAAACACTTGATTGGTTCAGTACAGTCCTGGGTATATGCTGTCTACATTACAAAAAGTGTGACCAGAAATGACATTAATTATGAGCTCTGTGAGTTTCCAGGTGGCCAAGGACTGAGTAAGCTGCAGATGACAGAATTACTCTGGCACCTCTGGGGTAGCCCCTTTGGCCAAAATGTGGTCCATGGGTGAATCTGGTGTGAAAGAAACCTTGCAGCAAACTAACACAAATCGGTGAAGGAGATTATTGTCCAAGGATGCCAGCCCAGCACCTTTCACCTCCACTGGAAATACAGCAAGTTGCACAAAAAGAAACAGAGGTAAATAATTTCTCCTTATTTTCCCAGCAGTTTGGCAAGGCATTATTTTTGTTTACAATGTAGCCAGTGGGTGTGATCTCTGAACTCTCAGCCCCAGGGGTAAACTAAGTGCAAAAGTCATTTTAGAAAGTAACATGTTAAACTAAGAAATTTGATTTTTAAATCTTTCCCCTGAGCTCTGGAACAGCTTTCCTGGGGCCAGCTCAGACTCATTGTAATAGAAAGCTGCACAGCTGCCTGGCAAAAAATTGCAAGCCCTCCCATTTTCATGTGGGCAAATCAGGAAAGGCACTGTAGACCAACATGACAACACTTCTATAAATATGTAACTGACTTTTCTCAGTTTTCTTTGTTGTCTCAAACAACTGTTGAATGATTTTTCAAGTAAATTTCACACTAATCTTCAGACAACGCATTCAGCTCATTTGACTATTTATTCATCCCTTTCTAACAGACGTGTCAGAGATGAAAAACTCAATACGAACTGATGCCGAATTTTGCCCCAAAAGGTGCAGAGAAACTGCTCAGAGACAAAGTTTTAGTCTTTAAGCAGCGAGGTATTTATTCAAGGCAATGTTGGAGAGCAGCCAGCTCGTGCTGGACAAATTGCTCTGCCTTTTCAGTGAAAAGACAGGATTATATACAATTTCTACAAGTGATTACAATATTTTCACATGCATATTCATACAACTGCCACATCTAGTTATAATATTCATAATAGGCGGAGTCTGAGGCGGAGTTGTCTTTTTGGGGTGATGTTTGGTGGTCGTTCCTGTTTCTTCAGCCTCACAGGGTTGCATTTTACTCTTCTTCCTCAGCTGAACTTTTCAACTTTCTTGTTTTTTGCTGACTTTATGGTGAATTTTGCAAGACTTTTGGACTCCAGCCCCTATTTCGTCCCTTATCTTTATTTATGTAGGTGTGTGAGCATTGTTTTAGTATACAGTACCATCTAATCCTTAAGATCTGGTTTTTATCTCTAGCTAAGCAGTACATTCTAGCTAAGCATTGCATTCTTCTGAGCAGGAGATTCCTCGGATCAGTATTCAGAGTTACCTCTTCAGGCCCTAGCTCTGTTTCAAACAGCAAAACAAATACACAGAATAAAATTCTGAAGGTAAGGAAAAATAAAAGAAGCAATTTATTGTCTTTCCTTGATCCCACTGCAAATCCAGAGGAAAGTGGACAGTCCTGTCTTTGGATGATGGTTGAAAGAAGGATTCTCATGGCAGAGTGAGTTCTTAATTTCTGAAGTTTGCCATTCACCTGCCTGGGCACACCACTGAAGACCTGTTAATTTCATCAGCATTCCACTTTTGTGATTCATCTAAATTTCATAATGTAATAAACCCTCCCTACACACATTAGCACTGCTAGATTAGAATGTTTTACATATACATTTGTTATCTTGGGGACAGAATTAGTATTTTCTAGTCAATGTAATTTACATGAATGCAAGATAACTTTCAGTGCAAAATGCTCACACTGAATGTATCTGAAGGTAATAATAGCTATAAACTTTACTTATTTGTTATCTCCTGGAGATAGATTACACTTTCTATTAATAAGAATAATCCACAGTACTGGGATTGTGCTTCAAAATAATACATTTGATAAATGTTACCCAGGTGTCAATTTTCTTTGTCACTGTAAGCAGGTAGTCCTGCACTGATGCCATAACACTGCAATCTATCAAATCTCTGCTCTGCATGCTTCATCCCTACATAGAGGTGACTGCTGGGTATCCTTCATTTACCAACTCCAAGGAACAGGAGGCCCTTGCTTAGCCTAAAAAAATCTGCTGCAGCTGGGATTAATGTTTGCCTTGCCCAGAGTACACAATGATCATCACAGCTTGCATCATGTTGTTTATATTATATTTTAAAAACAAAAAAACCACACAAACAAACAACCAAACCATCAAACCACAAAAAAATATAACTCTGTATCAAACAAACAAGAAAACTTTTATAGAAAGAAAAAGCCTGAATAAAACTCAGAACTCTTTTTCCTTCATGGAGTTTCTACCACTTCTTTCCTTCTGTCTGTGCTGTTCCTGATCTCCTCTACTGGTTGCCTGTTTGGATCTTCTCCCACACTTATCTTGGAGCTGCAACTGCTACCAGTTCTGTTACTGAGGAGGCCAATGCTTTCCAGTCACTCGGATGCCATGCCTCCTCATCATGACCTGAGGTCCTCTCTGCCGTGCCAGGATATGAAGTGCCTCCTACATCTTATACTTAAACAGAATATTGTCAGCTCCATTGACTTACATCTTATCATAGTCATTTTGAAACAAAAGCCCCACTGGACACTCTTAAGACATGCAAATGGTTCTGTCAGTCCCATAGGGTTCAAGTATTACAGCCAGATAATCATCATGGGCAAGTCAGTGGGTGTTGGTCTGAATCCCAAGGGATCCCCACTAATGAGCAGGGATCAAAGGGAGCTCCCTGGGCCACCTGGGCAGAACCAGGACCCTCAGAGTTCCACTAAGTGACAATAAAGTGTTTCAACTGTGGACACAAATCCTGTACAACTACAGCCATTGTCTTTTACCTCTGGCTGTGGAACATGGGACAGGGAGAGGAAGGGATCACACACTACTTTTAAGAGGCCTGTAAAATCCAATTAAGGAAGACTAAGCCCATAACTTACCTGTGGGAACTTCTTTAAAGTGCTCACAAACTTACAAAAGAACCAGTACTGCTGGATTGTGTCTCTCTGGGATAAAAGTCCATCATTTTATTTATTTGTAATGGTCATTGTGTTACAATGGCTCTGTGAACAAAGGTAAAGGGGTCAAGGTGTACCTCTCCTGTGGGTGATGGCTCCTGTGATTAGAGCCCCTGAGCTCTTTTTGCTTTGAAGGCCTTGATGCTATTTTTTCTTCCTATCTTTTAGCTATTTTATTACTATCTTCCAAAGGAGGAAAAAACCACAAATTATCCAGGCACTTAGACATCTTTAGATGTTACAGTTCAATAGCAGTTTACTGCCATTTTGGTAAATTGTGCACAGCAGCAAGCCACAATTAAATGAAATCTTCATTCTTAATGTCTATATGTCTCTAAGATAAGAGTGCAGTTTTACTCTCCTTAGAATACTCTATATCTTTATTAAATGTACATGTCATTACAACATAAAATGACTGGCTCCTCAAGCAGCCTCTGAAAGATGGCTACATTTATTTTGCTCTCTGCCTCAGATGACAAACAGAAATGCCTAGGGCAAGATTCTGTTCCTGGTAAATATTGGGCAAACTGTGAGCTTTCTTCCTTTACAGATCTATCCCATGAACTGGCACTTGGCTTGTAGACTGAGGATGGGGAGGGTGGGGAACTAATAAAGATTACACAAGTGAAAACAAAAATCCCAGTCAATAAAACAAAAAGTACCCACCAGTACTCTCCTCACCCCACTGCCTGAAAAATCCACTTGCTTCAAGCCGTGTCCACAAATGCAGTGAAATATTCCATGCTTAAGTGTCCAGCTTATTTCTAGTCCATCAGAGTCAGCAGCCATTTCAAAGAGATAGAGACACTTGATGGGAAAGAGCTGATCCTCCATCTCATGGTAGAATGACCATTTTGATCATGCTGGAGAAGCTGGGAGAAAAAGACCATACAAGTGGTGCTTGTCAGTTTGCCAGCCCTGTCTTGTGTGAACAGGGAGCACTGTAGAAAAAAATCTACCCCAGCCTCTGTTCCCAGATTCCGTCTTTTGTGTGTGCCTGTCTGGGCAGTAGTTCAAACATCAGCACATCCTGGCAGACCTCCAGCTGAAGCTGGATGCTCCACTTTCCTTCCTGCATCCGTCCGGGAGTCTGCCTTTAGCACTCAGGTGTGAAGAAGAGCCCAGCTGAGTGCAGGGCAGCTGAATGCAAACCAGCAATGCCTTTTTACCATATGTATCCACCACTGGGGCATGCAGGGGAGGATACAATGAGAAGCATGGGCCTGAGATTTGCCTCTCCAATGCAATTCTTACTTCACAGCAGCTCGAGAGTTGTCACTTCTTTTCCCTTGATGCTTTCCTGAAAGACTTCACGAGCTATTTGTGCCCAGAAAAGGGCAAAATGCAAATAGGTTCCATATGTATTTCCACCTTTTTGGGGGGGGGACACTAATATTCCTATACTGCTTAAAAAAAAACTAACCAAAAACCCTCCAGCAAAACAACCAAAAAAGCACGTGCGCATACACACACAAAATAAATCCAAGAAGAATTTCATTGGTTCCATAGGAAAATAACAGAGTAGATAGCCAGTCTTACCAGACCCTGAGTACTCTCTGCAAAGTGCAGAGCACCACCAGCTGCAGAGGGCAGCCCCACAGTGAGAAGTGGTGACTGGTGTATTTAAGACCTCCAAAGGAAAAGTCCATCCCAAACTGTGGCAAGCTCAGCGCTTTGGAGGAGCTCAAGAGTTAGAGCTGAGCAAGACAACACACCACCAGTGTTTTAACACTGACAGTTTGGTATAATCTAATTAAAACTGTGATGAGCAACTGCTGGGCTGTGGGGTGTTTAGCAAAGTAAAGAGCTCCTGACAAAAAGGCATAATTTTCACACAAACCAGAAAAATGAACGGTTGTCTTCCAGACAGCTCTAGCTGACTATAGGGAACACCAAAGTGAGAAGCCTATTTATTATATTACATCTGACATTATGAGAGCCTGTGTAATGTAATTATCCATAAAAGTCCCAACAGTCTACCAATTGTTCCTCACAGGTATACTTGTTTTTAAGACAGCTTTTCTAGACATCCATTACTTGCAGCCTCCTGCTTGCCTTTATCTGTTCTCTAAACATTATTTTGTCATGAATAACTGAATGAAAAAAAATTTGAAACCACACATAATGTCTTAATTTAAAAATATAGATGTATTTTTATAATTATTATGGTTTTTAATTTAATTCTCTGTTTATGCATTTGATGTATACATAGTCTATCATCCCCATCATTATGCTGGAATGGAAAAGTTCATTTGTTGGCTGTGGGCCTTACTCTGGACCCAGGGAGAGACTGAGGGCCTGGACTTTATTCCACTGACCTCTGTAACTTTACTGACGAGTATAAGGAGCTGTGCTTTTGCAAGGAAAGAGGAATCTTTCTCCACAAGATTTGGCAATACATCCATTTAGGGTTCAAACTCTCTGATTTATAGAACAGGATCATAGCTCTTAGAAAATTAGTACCAGCAACAGACTAGGACACTAAAGACTCAAAATGGCCCCCATTTAAAGAGGCTTTGGATGGTGAGAACGTTTTGACATTTATGAATAACACATTGTTGGTTTATGCTATTTCAAACGGACTTTTTGCTCCTTTTTATGAAATGCAGATTTTAAGAAAGACCAGGAAAAGTAGAAATAAATAAGAAAGATCTTTAACAAAAAATACTGAATGGTGTATGCCCTTTCACCTGTATATATATCAAGTGCATTGCTGTGGATTTCCTATGGAAACTATTTCTGAGGTGCTGGCAAATTTTCCATGTTTCCTCGAGTCTATTATTAATATCCAACCATGAAAATATATCATAAACTCACTGAAAAAGGGACGGTTGACTGCTTTTGTGGACAGCTGGAATTATCCTCTAGGCTTTAGGATTTTAAAAGGTTGCCACAGTAATGAGGAAAAGGTCCTACATACACACATGCAGTGAAATTGGTTACGTACCTGATGAAGCACATTTGCTTGATTTGGGTTTCTTCAGAAACATAAGGTATAACTAGACTATGGAATATTCAGTTGTTTGAATTATATTATATAGTATAACTTAGAGTCTACCTACACCATAATGCTGATGGTAACTGGAATGAATTTCTACAGACTAATTTCCACGATCCGCAGTCTTGATTCAGCTCTCCTGTTTGAGAAATTAATAGTGAAATGTTGGTTTGGAATTCCAACCTCTTTATGATTGACAGATGTCTTCCTTGAAATCATCTTTCTGCCATGCTGCTTAAGCTCAGGTGGCTTTATCCTGTGACAATTTACACCATCTGAAACCTGTCAGCCATGTTAATTGACCTGCACTGGACCATGGATTGGTCCTGTTGAAAGGAGGAAGGGTGTAGATGAGGGAGAGTTTTTGGTTTGCATTCATAAATAGATTGGGATAAGACTTAGGACCTAAGTTGTGTGTGGCTCAGCGTAAATGTAAAATTCTTCAAACCTCAGCTCAGCTAACTATATGTGCTCTGAGAGGTTTCTCCAATCTTTACAACAAAGTCACTCTAGCCTCCAATATACAGTTATGAGCAAGTTTGCCTTAATTTTGACAGTTTGTGCAATTTCACATGCAGGCAGGAGAGCGCTTCCCTCTATCAGTCCCGTATGCATGGTCCAAAGTCAGGAAAAACCCAAGAAGGAAAGTACACCTGGCTCAGGATGTTCTGGTGGTCAGAGCACTTTTGTCAGGAGAAAGGCACCACCATTACCTCCTCTATCTCATTTCTGACTTCTCTCAACAGTCCTACTCCCCCCTCAATATGCTGCCTCTTGTGGATCTAATTCTTGGACAAGAAAATCGTTATGTCTCATAAGAAACCTATATATTTAAATTGGAATTATGAATCATTTGGGGTTACAAGAAACCTAAAGGTATTACAAAATTTCATTATATTGCATCAGTAAAGATTCCATACTGTCAACTGTAAAAAATTCGTTCAGATTTTCCTCATTGGAAGTTCCAACCTCCTAACCGTAGAATCACAGAAGTTTGTGCTGAGTGGAAAAAATTTCTAAACAAGGGTGATTTTAATTAAGTATGTTTTCAAAAGGTATTATGAAAACATTTTAATTAATCTATTTTGAAAGATCAATGTAAGCATGGAAAGCGGGGTATTCACACATAACATCAGGTAACAATGAGCCTTAGTCTCTCCCTTGTTTGTAGGTGCAACTTTCCCAGCTAGAGTTTTAGTGTCCCTCTAACACTCCTTACAACATTTTCCATCTAATCATAGAGACAAACTTGGAAACACAAGATCATGAGAAGAAGAAAGGATTCACTTTCCAAGGGAAGACAATAGCTCTGGAAAATGAATCAGGCTGTTTGCTTGGCAGTGGAATGGGAAGGAATCCCATGCAGCAGCATGAGAAAACACAAACCTAAACATATTCGATCTTGTGCCTCCGCAACTGGGTTATTGTGGCACTATGAGGTGATACAATCAAGAAACTTATTCAGTTATTGATGAGCAACCTGGTTTAAAAAAAAATGAAAATATTACCTTTGTCCTGCTAATGTACAATGCTGATCCATCATTATTTGAACTCCAGTGAATCAACTGCTTCCCAAGTGCAATGTCATTAGGTGGTGAAGTTTCAAATCCGTTTGGATTTAATTGCGATCACTGGTACTTAAAGTGGCCCTTATGAGACCCACTGGATATACAGTATGTGCTTGTACTCATCCAGCTGCCCCACGTCCTAAACTGGATGAACTTTCCAGAGGCATAGGCCTTGGAACATACTGAGTTTAACAGGGAGCAGTAGTCATAGAATGATAGAATCGTGCTGGTTGGAAGGAACCTTAAAGATCATCTAGTTCCAGCTCCCCTGCCATGGGCAGGAACACTTCCACTACACTAGGTTTCTCAATGCCTCATCCAATCTGACCTAGTCAATCTCCTTTGAATTCACTCTTTGCTTTCCAATTATGTTTCTTCTTATTAAAGATATATAGAGAGGATTCAAATGCTTTTTGCTGCACATAGTTTCATACCCTTGTAAACCACACCGGCTACCTGTGCTGTGCTTTCATGCTGTAGGAGGACACTGGATAAGATTACTTTCTCAAAACAGTATTGGCACCAGCAAAGCTCCCCTTCTGACTTAAAGAAAGCACACCAAAACAAAAAGATACGGAGGGGGGAAATCTGCCAGCAACAACTATGGGACCTAAAGCATACTATCTCATAACATATATGTTTCTCTTGGGCTGTTCTGTGCTAATCCTTACAAGTATTCTATAAATTAAATGATAACTAAACATAAGGAAATCTTAAGAATAGCTCCACTGTTTCAGAATTTCATTATATTTTTAATTAGGTTTCAGTTTTATCCAAACTCCATGCCAAAAAGCAGCCAATGCAAGGCTTCAGGCAGCCTTGAAGAACCCTTAAAAACTGAAGAACATGAAGGATACGAGCCAAAAATTGATCTGAAAGGCAACATTTCATCCACCTCCTTTATCCCCAAGCATTTCAGAGGCTATTCTGCCTAGCGCATAGGAAACAATAAACTCACTTAAGAACAGGGCTTAACTCAGCTACTATGCAACTGCCTTCCCCTAGCCAAATCACTCCATGGTTTTCCTGTCCCACTCTTTTCCAACCTCACCATTACAGACTGACAACCTTCTGGGACTGGAACTGCCTATTTTCGTGTACCTACCCTCTGCCCGTAGGTTCATTCCTAATTGTGTCTCAACCCTTATTTCCTTTTAAGACTTCTTGTTTTTTGATGGCAATGGAAGAGACGAGCCAATTTAAGACCAGAGGAAACATGAGATCAAAGAGGCAACCAACAGAAGCTAACACCATGTGGTGGTTTGAGACCCCCAAAAATCCAATTTCCGAGTCCAAGCCCCCCTCCCACAACTCACCTCAGTGTGAGAGGGGTTTTCCAGACACAACACAAGACTCAGTATGGGGGGAAGGGAATCATATTACAATTATTACACAAATAAATATTATAGTACATTATATACACAATTCTAACTAACTTTCCTATGGTAAAGCAGTATTTACATTGGACCAAATCTCTTTTCCCTCCAATAAAAGTCCAGAAGGGAAGAAGGAAAAATCCTTTCCAGGTTTAGGGCAGCACTCTCTCTCTTCTTCTATGCAGCAGTCATAGCTGCAGTTGTAACTGTATCTCTTTCCACACACACACAAGGGGTTCTCCTCTCACCCCTCTCGGCCCTTCGACTCTCAGCGAAGGTCTCGCCTGTGGACTGCCAGCAGGGGCAAAATTCACTTCATCGCAGGCATATCACGAAGTCCCTTCCTCAGGGGATTTAAGCTCCCCCTGAGTCAGAACGTTTAGGACAGCTTTCAGTTCAGTCTTATCAGAGCATCCTATCAGATGCTATCTTATCTAAGCATCCTATCAGAGCTCCTTTGCTCTGTCTCAGAACTACCTGCGTGGCAGCAGCGGCAGGGTCAAGGCCACTTCCCCCCCATTCCATCCGGCTGTCCCGGTCCAACTTCCAGGATGTCTCTGAGTTCTTAGCTCCTCTCTCTCTCTGCTGCATGCTGCATTTTAGGACTTCCATCAAGTAGGAGTCCACCTCCTCCTCCCAGGAGGGGTCTCAAAGGGATTTTAGGGAGATTTGATTCAGTCTTACCCCAAAACTGTCTTTGTTGAGCTTAGTCCTCTCTCTCTCTCTCCGTTGGATAGCTCTATGTCTCTCAGCTTAGCTGCATGCTGTCTTTGCTGCTCATTTCTTATCTTCTTGGCTTTCTGCCACAGCTCTCCATTTGCTGCTGTCTCTGCCACTGCTCCTGTTGCCCACTCACAGTGGAGAAAGACTCCCTCAGCTCTTTAGCCACAGAACTTGGTCCAGTTTAACACTGTTTCCGAGTTTCTGTAGCCCCCAGCCAGGGGCTGGGGGGGGCTAGGCCCCCAGTGGGGCTCCTGGCCCCTCTCTCTCTCCTCATGGTCTAAAACATAGCTACTACTACTCCAACTACATCATCATCCTTCTTTTCCAGTCTGCTGTGATATGTTTAAATTTTGCAGGGGCACTGATTGGGTCAACATCAAATGACACCATCCCCTCCGTGGTTACTATTTTTTTAACTCCAGGGGGAAAAACACTTTTTTCCCCACCACACACCATAAAGCCATAAACTTATGGGAAATACTTTTTTCTAGCTTTTTGTACTTTGTTATGTAAAAAACAAGACCATAGGGAACAGGATTTCCAGGAGGAGACAGGAAAATAGGAGCGGCCATTCTAGGAGACACACTGGTGATGATTAGCAGCTTAGGGTTGCTAATCTGATAGATGACAGAGAGAAAGAAATTAGCAGGTAAGAAGAAATCTATTTGCAGATAATCCAGCTAGTTTGGGAAATTATGAATCTGAATTCTTTTAAAGATCAACTCTTTTGAGCAACCCATATGTTTTATTTCCCAAGGCTTTCTATTTTCCAGGATCTGCCAGCGGATGCCTGTTTGTTCACTTGACTTGTGTTCTGAGAAATTCCCCATGTTAAAAGTCTCCAAAGTTTAAAATTAACCCCAAGAGAACTCACACACTTGAAGATGGATGAAGCTGAAAAAAGAGGCATAGCCACAGAGAGAAAAATATTGCACTAAAGGCTGTTAACAGGGGAGTATGCTGTCACTGTGAATATCTGCCTGTATAACAGCAATGTTCAGCAAGGGATCCATATCTGATGTCCCTTAGGCTTTGCAGGTAAACTGTCTGAAAGCCAACTGGGAGGAGCAACTCTATCTTCTCCTGCCAAGGCTAGGAGATGCTTTTTTAATAACTAGTATTCTTCCTGGAATATTTATGAGAAGTTTAGAAAGATTGATTTGGCCACTGAGGATAGATATGTGAGCATCTGCTGTAATGGCAGTAAAAAGAATTAGACTCATCAGGAATAGTAATTCATAATGATAGTGGCAGTGTTTGCTCTTTGAATATAAGAATCTACTAGGCCCTTCCATCTCAGAATAACTAACATTTCTACATGCAAGAAAAGTCTTCCTTTCCACAGCAAGAGCTACCATCAGGAAAGAGCCCAAATGTGTGTGCTCCTGTGCACAGGAGTGAGAGGATGATCATTAACCAATGCATCTCCTTTGCTTATCACCCTTGCTGAACAAAAGAGCATGCCATCATGTTTGCAAAGATACATGAACAACTGTTACTCTTTGAAACAGCATAGATAAAGAAACCTGAGGTGCAGGTCTGGCAAAAGTCAACACCATTTGCTGCAGTACTGACCCTAACTGGACTTTGGGTTCCCAAGGAAAGAGGAGAGATGAAGCAGGCAAGGTGGATGTCTTCTCTTCTCCATCTGGGACCCAACGAAAGGAAGCCTGATCTTGCTTTATTTTTATGTATCCCATAAGGCAAAAGTAGATGCTGTTCAAAATACTGTCCTTCTGTTCTTTTTGAAGGATGTCCAGAAAGTCAACCTAACATCCTAAGCAAGGATGACTCACATTCATGAAGCAATCACTCAGTGAATCCTTGCCCCCTCCACCTCTGCCTCTCAGATGAACCAGCAGTACACGTATTTTTTTAATGAGGATTCTCCATGCTTTCTGTTAACAGACCTTTACATTTTTCAGGAATAAGGGAAGTCCTAAGGAAAGGTAGAATAGAACTTATAGAAATAAACCCAACATTGTATTCTTAATAAAACTGTGGAAAATATTTCCTTTTTAACTGCAGTGAAACTTGCCTTAAACAGGTGCAATGCTGTACTTTAGGTCCCTGGAGGTAGTTAGTTGAGCCCTCCCTCCTCTTTTAGTCTGCATATTCTCTGGTTAAGCCCACGTGATGCAGCTGAAAGAACAGCTCCCGGAGTACCATCCTGCTCTAAAAATGAATCTCTACATGGTCATGTACACTGACATAGCCAGAGCATCATGCTTGTGACAAGTGTTGTATACAGGGTGTTTAGAATATGGCTGCAAAAGATTAGCAGCAAGCAGGTGTTTGCTTAAAATGAGATAGACGTGGGAAACAAATAAAAATTAAAGAGTCTTCAAAGACCATTGAAAAATCTCCTCATTCTAAGGAAACTCTGCCCACATTAGCAGTTTTAAAAAAAACACCCATGCTTATTTTGGTCAACACAACCTTCTTCTGTTGTGTAGTAGGTTCCTTCTCAAATAGTTAGGTTCTACCTGCAGAGCATAGTCCTACTCACTGAGAGCAAAGCTGACAAAATCTGCATCTCAGCTTGGCACTTTCAGCATATCACGGAGTTTATACTGTATATTTGGTGAGTCAAGCATCCATGCTGTCAAGCTTCCGTGTGTAAATGCAGGCATACCCACACTGGCACAGTGTAGCAGAAGAGGTTCCCAGACTTATTTATTGGAAAAACATGTTTATTAAACAACTATGCTCCAAAATACAACTGCTTTTTTCTTTTCTCTCCTTTTTCCCCGTGGCCTCCTAGGATCTCTCTGGCACCGAAAATTCCCCTGCAATTACAGCCAGCAGCTGAACTCAGCCTGAAGTCCAGATATAACCTTCACACACCCATGGAGCAATCACTCAGAATTTCAGGGGTTTAAGGAATTTCAAAAATTGACTTCAAAGAACTAAATCTTATAGAAGTATTTCTCGTTCACCGCCTGACACATAGGGACTGTACTTTCTATTTTAATGCTCATAAAACATGTACG